CGCGTTGCATGGGTACTTCAAACATAGCTCACACAGCGACTGATTGAAATGGACGCGTCAAAGTCACTCGTTCGGAGTTGTTAGCTGTTTGATTTTAAAGTGGGACTGTCAGCAGCAGAATTAAGTCGCCGAATTTGCCAGGCCTTTGGGGATGATGCCGTTAACGAATGAACCGCTAAGCAATGGTTCCAGAAGTTCAGGTCAGGGGATATGTCTCTTAGTGATGCACCACGCAACGTTTGGTCACAAGCGCTAGACGATGAGGCCCTGAGAGCAGCCATAGAGAGAGACTGTAGCCAAACATGTAGTGAGCTTGCTGCACACTTCCAGGTATCTGATGAAACGATCAGACTCCATTTGCATGGTTCGTACGGTCCTTAAGAGTCCTTAAAAGTCCTTAATTTCGGCCAAAAATCAGCAGAAGGTCCTTAATTTTAATCATCTGAAATTTCTGTCTGTTTTACGACTGCCATTCTGAGTATGAATTAACATCTTGGAGGAATATTTTTGGCAATTCGATGACAAATATCGTTATCTTTTGAATGGGTGAATGCGTATATGGGTTATAATTTGTTCCTATTTCTAATATAAATGTTGGCATAGAGTTTCTGAGCAAGAAGTGATACGTAAGCATTTTTAAATTATTTAATTTTTTCTAGTGAAGAGCTCTTAAACAACTTTTCGCATTTGGGGATGTGAATTCTTTTATTAAATTGCTCTAAATTTGGCGACATCAACATTTTGAGGATTTTAAGATTAGTTTGTATAGAAAATTTTTAATTCCGAGATCTGAGAATTTTTCGACGATTTTTTTAGAACATTGTAACATTGATAAATTTCATTAAAATATTGGTAATGTAATTATATTTAAGAAATAACATTAAAATAAAGCATTTTTATTTTTTGCTGTCATATTATAAAGTTCCATTTTGGCCACTTATTATACAATGTTTTGAATTTAAAAAATAAGCAAGGTATATTGTTGTAAAGCATAATTTACGAAACAGTTCTTAGCAAAATAGCTATGTAATTAATTAAAAATGTTTTTAGTTTTTTCATGGTAAGAGTTTTCCCTGTAATTGTCTCAGAATATTCAGAATTCTCAGAATATGCATCAGTTTTCTCTATAAAATTATTTTTACACTTTATTCCTCCGATTTTTTTTCAAAATATTTCAGGCTTTTTGCTGTTACCGAATTGGTAGAGGTAATTTTTGTTTATGATTTTAGACATTGCAGCTTGGAAAGTTTAGAAAGATTTGAAGGCAAGATTTATAGACCCATGGTTCTGGAAGATTCCAGAAAAATGTGACGAAATGAAAAATGTCTCCATGGTATTAATACATAATTTCTTACTTTTTAGAGAACGTGTGGAAGAACAATAGTTGAAAACATAATAGTTTACTTCTGATTCTAGAATCTTTCTCTTAACATTTTTATCTTCCCTTTATTTTCTCTACTTTTCGCTAAACGCAAGCATGGAAAATATCAAAAATGCTTCTAATCTTATCATATGAACAGGCAGTATAGAAAATAATTTTTTTATTAATAAAGAAATTGAAAACTGGCAATTTAATCAGTCCATCTAATATGTCTCAATGCATCATACACAGGGATGACGCTAGGCATTTTCCCACCTGATGCAATCTCTGTGGATCCTAAATTCTGCTGCCTGGTGCCTTTCTAAATTTTGCTTCCAACGCCTATTTTAAATTCTAAAAGTTTTTGACATTTCTAGATTTTGTTCTCGGTGTATCACTAAAGTCTAAAAAATAAAATTAGCAGCTTTCTCTATATATTCTAAATACATTTAGTGTTTTTAGAATAACAGAAATCTTTAAGTAAATCCAAAAATTCTGAAACGAAAAGGAAACGTGGAAGAAAGAAACTGAATACATTAAGAGAAAGGGAAATTATTCTTCAAAGATAAATAGAGATATTATTATGTTAATTACCCAGTTGTTTACAATTTCAGCCTTTACTATAATTTCCCATTTCTATTTTCTCACCAGAATGCAAGTCACTTGACAGTTTTTAAACTGAGGTTTTTGGAGTGTAAGACAAGAGTGTGTTTCTAATCTCCACTTGCTACCTGCAATACTTGCTACCTGCAATACTCTAATCTCCACTTGCTACCTGCAATACTCTAATCTCCACTTGCTACCTGCAATGTTCCTGCCAGCTCTGATAATTTGTAATTATTCGTCTTTACATTATCGCTGCTGACATTTGAATTTGTTATGACGATTATGATGAAATTAAATTGTATAGTCTTTGATCCATATTTTTAGTTTGAATCCATAGTCCATATTTTTAGTTTGAATTTGATTCGTCTTGTTTAATTACATCACCACGAACTGTAACTGATTTTGTTAGCATGAAAACATGCCTTTATGTTCTAAGTTCTTTTTAAATAAGAAGTTTAGTTAAACCTTTGCCTGACTTTGTAGTTACTTTCAGACATAGCGATAATTTGCTTCACATCTGTCCGGGAGTGTTTTGGACTATTTAACTTTTACCAGATTAAGTAAACCCTCATAGGTACATTTTGGAGAGGTTGACAGGTTAGAATTTAAAACACGCAGAAACTAGTAGTAAGAAGATTGTCTTGCGTATTGAGACAAAGTTCTAACTGTTAGAAAAGTTGCTTAAAGAGAAGGAAATTGATATAAATTAGCCAAAATGTCTGGGAAGGCTTCAAATTAAAAAGACGCATAAATATTCTGTTGAGTGTTGTTGGTTACAAAACATAAATATTTTGTGGCTTTTAATGTGCAATTATTCTAATATCGTTTAAAAATTTATGTGATAAATTACATGTATTTTAAACTGTGAAATTTTATTAGATTGTGATTTTAATAGGGCTTTTTTTAACAAATATTGTTAAAAAATAAATAAAATTTAATAGTGCCCACGTAATTCCTTAATGACTAAGGTTATCTGATATCTAATGTAATTACTTATAACTAACTGGTTACCGTTAAAAATTATCTCTGCGTTTTAAAGCGAGTTATTGACTTTCACTAACCCTTATTGTGGGCAAAAATGTAAAAATTCATGTAAAACCTATTTTTCGCATCTAGTGAGACTTAAAATAATGCAAAACAACTTATCACCTCTGGTCCTTTAGTGGATAATTAGGACCATAAAGTATGTTAACTGAGTTACAACCCCTGGAACTCTACAAGAAGCTATGACACTAAATGAGTCAGACAGAGCCCAGCTAACTTTCAGAACTTGTGAACCGTGCTTATATCAGGCCTTCCAGGTTTGTTCTGATCAGCAGGTCTCTCTCTAAGCAAGCAGGCGCGGCGACAACTGCCAGTCTTTTGTTTTGAATCATGCTGATTGTGATTTTACTTCTCATTTTAACCTATGCCGCTTGACATAAAATCTACCTATTATCTACTAAACCCGTAGACTGAGCAAGTATGTGACAAAATGACACATTAAAAAAATCAACATAAAACTAACTATTAGTAAAATCTAAATAAAATGTCACTTATCTTCTTTCAAATATGTCCAATTATTATGAGTGTAAAATATTTAATGCTACTTGATAAATTTCTTAAAGTTGATTTTATTCTCAAACTTATTAATAATTATGTTAATTATGTTTAATAATAACGCATCCTACTTATGGATCTATTTTACTTTTAGGATGGTATTACAAAAGTGAACTTCAGCATAGATAATATTTTTAATTGAATTTATTCAGTTCCCATTTGCTTATAGGGCTTTAATTTTTTTCATTAATGGTCCTTAAAAGTCCTTAAAAGAGACACCATCCACTGGCTAGGCTGGGAGACACTACCCCATCCACCATACTCCCCAGACTTCACGCCAACAGACTACCACCTTGTTCGTAGGAAATCCTTCAACAACTGGACAGACCTAGATGAGGCCCTCATGGATTTCTTTTCGTCCAAGACTCCCGAGTTTTACTGCGATGGTATCGCACATCTAGGCACTCGTTGGCAAGAGGTACTGGATGCCGATAGTGATTACTTTGAGGATTAGAGGTTAATATTATTTGATTTTTCTGACTGTCCAAATCGGCAAGAACGTTTGTGGTTACCTTGCATTTTTGAAATAAAACTTTGACAATTCCAACATTATAAAATGCTGTGCTGCTTTTTTTTCTATTAGCTATATCATCGATGACATTACAGAAGTCTAATTCATTACTCCAGTTGCTGTTCCGCAGACAATACGGAAGAGTTCTTTGCCATATTCTTAATAGAACGATTTAATACTTCTTATTCGACTTTTACTTCAAAACTTTTATAACTAGTATCAATTATAACAGCTGTAGAGAAGATTCGCTATAATATTACTATATTTGGAACTACTTACTGGAAACGACTTTAAAATAAACTGCAGAAGTTCAAAGCGACTAATTCCTTGTGTCTGTTTCATCTTCCTCGTGAAATTGTTGAAATCTCATTGGGATTTCTTTCAATACTTGTCCAGCATAAGAACCATGCTTTGGCCCCTATAACTTACACCTATAAAATTATATCTCATCTGAAAAATGCCGCTTCTGGAAATTTGTCGCCTGAGGTGAATTGCCCACCCACTCTCCATCTAGTTACATTATGGCAATCTCAATATCTAGTTATATTGTTTAGCACCCATACGTTTATTTTAATTCGGTAATTTGCAATACATGGGGGCTTGAATGGTGTAATCACCAGAGTACTTGAGTACGGGGCCCAAACTCTGTCGAAATTTATAATTATTCACAACTCCGAGGGAATTCGATATAAATTCTAAATTTCAAGTTTAATTTACAATACATAATCTTTTGAGGTCGCAGGAAATGTTTATGATATATAAATTTTTTATCGTCTTACGTCAATAATTTTGTTATAATTTTTTTAATATTCCTCTAAAGTTATACATTTCGATTTTATTAATTATTTACTTAAAATGTGTTAAATAAAAAAAATCGCGTATATTAAGCGTCTGCTTTACACTTCCGTTTCCTGCGCCGTAAAAGTAAACATGAAGCACGAGGAGCGTGCTGATGGTAAAGGTATATTTTGCATCTGGAAAATTTAACGTAAATCCTTAAAAAGCATTGTTTATCGACATTTTTTCAAGAAAAAAAAAAAAAAAAAAGAATAGTGAGGATAATTGTATAATGTAGACAAGTTGTCTGGAAGAATGGTAAGACTTTTGTATATCATATCAGTTATTTTACGCTTTAAAAATAAATTAGACTTTTAAATGAACAGTATGATATGTGTTATATTTAAGTATATATATATATATATATATATATATATAGAGAGAGATGGATACTTTAAAAAAAAATTAGTACGAAAACGCTTCCTCTGAAAATAAAAAATTTTCTATGAATTATTGCAATAAATTTTTAATAAGTAATACGCCAGATGTGATAGTTTTGTTAGCGAAGTACATTTAATACTAGCTTGCTGAGAATGTTCGTTGCCTTAGATAAGACATGTTATATCTACTAAATGACGTTTGGTGAGTTGGTTGTTATCTCATATCTTGGTCTTTTTATCTCCGTAGCTTGACTGTGCCTGCCATACTGATGACAGCGCGCACATGGTTCATAGCCCTGCCATGGAAATAGTACAGACGGTGAGTTTCCATACAGATTTAGTATTTTAATATGAAATTAATATTGCTATTTGCATTATTATTACATATATTCATAGTTTAACATGTTTTAATGGTTCTTTATGCAATATACATATTGGTATGATTGGTATCTGTTTTTATGCAGTTATAAATGTAGAATAATATTATTATCTTTATTCTTTTAATTTTAGTATCCATTTTTGAAATCTTTTTTGGCTGGATCTGTAAGTGGAACTTGCTCTACCCTTCTCTTTCAACCTTTAGATTTAATAAAAACAAGGCTACAAAATCCTACAAAATCAGGGTATGATTTTTTTCTTCTTCAATTGCTGAAATTCCTAAGTTTTTAATTATTGCTTCTTTTTTTTTTTTTTTTTTTTTTTTTCTTCCTGTGTTCCAGTGTTTTTAATGCTACTCAAGCATCATAGGTTTATTGTATGTCGCTGCTGTGCCATTTATCTTATCTTTAGTTTTGTAATTATTGTATTTATAATAACTGTAATAGCAAAAATGAAGATTTTTTACTACAAAAATAAAGCGTATTTTTTAAAATTTGTTTCACTAGAAATTAAACATCTTATTAGCATTGTCTTTTATTGAACTTACGATGTATGTATTAATTTCTCTCAGTGCATTTTTGGCATTCAGTGGACTTTGTTACCAAACCTTTTTAGAATGCTTATAAGTTGAACTTTCATAGCATTCATTATAAAAATGCTTGCATATATGTATACATAATTGTATATTTTCATAAAGTTCAGCTCATTAAAAAAAATAAAAGAGCAAGATATTTTAAAGAACAAAATAAGATATAGCAGAGTAATGATCAATCTTAGGATCATTTAAAGATATTTATGCTGTTCAGGGGTTTAATTTTTTATTACTTTTTGAATCATAAAAGTATGGTACAAGTTAACAATTATACTCATCAAGTATAATTATTGACATATTTTTATGTTGTTAAATTATCAGCATATATTGCTGTTAGCTGCAAACTGGAAAATGGCATATATCAAGTTGTCATGCTTAAATGTTGATAAATTTGAACATTTGTATGCTACTTGCTATGCTTTTAGTGCTGTGACTTATTTTGGTATTAAAGTGACTATAGAAGTTTAAATTAATTGAACAAAATTCAGCAGATATCCAAAGATGGTAATTATTTTATATTTATTTTGACATTTTAAATACAATGATAGACTCTAGGAACTTTAAGTGAAATGACCAAGATAGTTTTGAGAAAATAGAAGAAGACAGAGTAATTTTTCTGACTAATGTTAAATTGATTAGTTGTTATTTGTTGAGGCATTTAAGAATTTTCAGTTGTACAAATGATGATGAAAAATTATTTGTTATATTTATTCCAAAGATGTGTCATAAAAATTAAGTGATTTTAAACTCAAATTATTTCTGAATTTAGATTTGTTCATTTAATGCTTTAGAATACTCTATACTTGAAAAAAATATGTTTACAGAATAATGAAAATTATTACATATATTGGTAAAAGTGTATTTATGGGTTCCCCTTTGCGAAAAATGCCGATTTTTGGCAGTACATGGATACGAAGTTTGTGCAATTATTTGACTTTGTGTAGTGGCGACTTTAGTGCCAAAAAATTGCCGCTACACAAAGACAAAATAGCGAGTCAAAGAATTGCTCAAACTCAGTATCCATGTACACATTGACCTATTTTCACTTAAAGAAACATCACAGAATAGCTCAAACTAGGCATTATGCACTCACTCCCATGACTCTGTTCATGTACACATCGATATATTTTCACTTAAAAAGTCAAAGGAGCACCCAATTCTACAGTAGAAGAAAAAAAAAATACATAACCTCAATAAACTACATTTTAAACCAAACAATCAAATAACATAAAAAAGGAAAAACCTCTTATGCATCTAAGCACTACACAAAGCAAATATCCACTTACCTTATTTAGAAATTTCTTCATCGTTAGTCTGTGGCACACAAAATTTCTTAACAGCATCCAAAAACTTCCTCAAATTATTTGAACTCAAATCCATATATCGGCATTGCCATATAAATTAACAAAAATAAGAGTAAAAAAATATCCTCCGTAGTTCCGGACTGGCCGGAAAATGGTTATTAAGTAAACCTTCATTTACACACCAGTCAATTAATGCTCTTTTTCCCTTTTGTTTCAAATCGTACAGAAACTTAAAATTAATCTTATTACATTCAGCCATTCTACCGTCTAAACAACAAAACAAGCAATGTACTTCCTAACTAACACCTCAAGCCCTTATTAAATATCCCATAATTCAAAATTTACTGAAATTATGCAACCGATTACATCATAATAGGGTTTCCATAATATTCAACTACTCAGGTTACTATAAATAAAACAACAACTTGGTGCTAAGTGAAACAACAACTGAATGATAAATATAAGGCGTACCCTTCAGTCTACTCTAACCCATATATTGTATTTTCGGCTAATCTTTGGAATATGGTAACAGGTAGTTTGGCGACATTTTGGTAAAGCAATAAAGGTGTCTAGCTAGGACTTAAGCAATAATTTGAGAAGTACAGAGTTCCAAATTTGCCCTGTAAAAACAGATTTCTGTGCACGTTTGTTCCACTACTTTCCGGAAAATTCCGATCGTGATTTGGCTAAAGTGCAGAATCGCCCACTTATTTGTTTGGTGCATTTTACAAGAATAAGAAGAATTGGATTTTTGTCAATTTTCTTTGATTTTTTAAGTGACAATAGGTCGATGTGTATATGGATAAAGTCAAGAGTGTGCGCAATGCCATTTTTTTGCAATTCTGGGATTTTTTTTTAAGTGAAAATTGGTCGACGTGTACACGGATACCGAGTATATGCATTTCTTAAAAGCACACCAAGCAGTGGGCGATTCTGCACTTTCCCCGTGATTTTAGCTAATAAGCACTTAGAAACAATTTAGCACCTAATCTTCGTCATGATTAAGCACTTTTATTCCATAAAGTTTCACTTCGTAAAAACAAAATGGCATCAAAAAAAAAAAAAAAAAACTACCAGGTTGCTGTGGCAGGGTTGGTTGCCATCAAATTTTTGCCAAAAAATCGCCACGTTACCATAATCCAGATTCACCATATTTTCATGCATATTGTTACTCTTAGCTTTTTAGTGCCAGGTTCTGAAAACTAAAAAAATATTAGTGTAATTTTTCCCTTTCTGGGAACTTTCAGAGAACAAGATCAACTAAATTGTAAAATGGATTCATCCATGTAATGACTGTTTTCGTCTTACTAACAAAGACAGACCCTTGCAAACAACTTGTGAAGGTCACGCCTCTTTCCTTTCTTACTACAGTCAAAAGTCGTTTATCCGGACACCCATAATCCGGAATGATCTATAATCCAGACCTCAAAGCCACAAACTTTCTACGCATGCGTCAATGCTTAATGTGTTGATGCGCATGCGCGTAATACCTTTACACATGCGCGTTTAATGTATAACGGACGGTATAAGCTAAGCTAAAATTATCTAATTATATATTTCAGTTAATGTTGCAGATTGCATTGTTCCTTAATCTTCGAATTGGATCCGACTTATTATTTTTTGCAGACTGTTAGAGCAATTTTATAAAAGTAAACTTGAACTTTCGATTATGTCAAAAAGAATTTCCGATTCTGGAGCTGCCAAAGGATCTACAAAGCGAAAGCATGTTTCGATGTCCATCAAACAAAAAGTGGAATTGCTGCAAAAATGGATAAAGGCATATCTTTTGTTTCTCTAGCCATTCCAAAATCTGTTTATCAATTTCATGCTGCTCTGCGTGGGAGGGGGGGACGTTGCAGCACACAGTTAACTGGAAGTTGATCTGTCAGCACTATCCTTATCTTCAGGGCAGATGTTTTTATTTCATTTGGCTTATAATTCATTACTAAATGTAGTATTTCATCTTGATGTACTCCATCTTTGATATGATTTAAATCAAAAATTCCTCGTCATTATAAATATCACGAATACAAATCAAATAGTTTTCTGGTTGCAATTTTCTAATTTTGACTATGCCTAATGTATGCTTTACGCATGCGCGTGTTGAAAGAAATGTTTAATAAAGTAAACAAATAAATATTAAGCTTTTTTTTTTTCTGTAAATTTTGATACCCTTTAGATCATAATTGCTCTTTATTTCGTAAATTACGGTTTCATATTTTTAATTTTATAATTTCTGCATGCTATCCTACCAGATTTAAACTGATGATCTATGATCTTGAAAAATCGATAATCCGGAATCGCCGAAGTTCCAACGAGTCCGGATTAAAGACTTGACTGTATTCTAGTACAAGAATTGATGCATTGCAGCAAAGCAAACACAAACTGATATTCACATTATGATTTTTGTGTTGATATACAGTCAAAAGTCGTTAATCCGGACTCGTCGGGACTTCGGCGATTCCGGATTATCGATTTTTCCGGATTATAGATCATCAGTTTAAATCTGGTAAGATGGCACGTAGAAATTACAAAATTAAAAATATGAAACCGTAATTTATGAAATAAAGAACAATTATGATCTAAAGGGTATCAAAATTTACAAAAAGAAAAAGCTTAATATTTATTTGTTTACTTTATTAAACATTTCCTTCAATGTAAGTTGCTTCGTTTCATGTGATAATACTTTCTCTTTAATTCTATTGAACAGACATAATTTCTTGTTTAGTTACAAAGTTCCGCTGTTCAAGTCCTATAATTGCTGTGTTGAGAATACCGACTAATTTGTCAATCGAAATGTTTTCGTTTTCAATAACCTCTGGGTCACTTAACCAAATAAAATAAAAACATCTGCTCTGAAGATAAGGATAGTGCTGACAGATCAACTTCCAATCCGCAGCGTGAAATTGATAAACAGATTTCGGATTTCAAAACATACTTTCGCTTTGTAGTAATATATATCGGAAATTCTATTTGACATAATTGAAAGTTTGAAGCTTACTTTTATAAAATTGCTCTAACAGTCTGCAAAAAATAATAAGCCGGATCCAATTCGAAGATTAAGGAACAACGCAATCTGCAACATTAACTGAATTAGATAACTTTAGCTTAGCGTATAACTCCGTTACACATTAAACGCGCATGCGCACAAACATATTCGCAGCTGTAAGGGTCTTATGCGCTCTCGTAAACGCCTGTGCGCATGCGTAAACACGACGCATGCGCAGAAAGTTTGTAGCTTTGAGGTCCGGATTATGGGTGTCCGAATTAACGACTTTTGACTGTACTAATTTACTCTTTTACAGTGAAAAAAATCATTAATGTTACCAAATATTAAGACTTCAAATTATACTTTTAGACACAATAAGAATGGGCGAGATTCATGTTAGAGGGAAGTAGAAATGAAGATATCTTATTAGACATTATAATATTAATATTACTATGTAGTCTTACTAGAATGCAGGCTCCTTTTAACGAAATAATATTCTAATAATTACCTGTAGTTTATTTATGATTTATATTAATTTGTTATGTTCTAGTTGTTACTGCATACTTCAAAAATTAAAGTATTTGCATAATTTTCTATCTTTCGATTTTTGGACAGTAAAAGGTGGGGGAATATAGGAGGAAATATAGTCATCCATTAATTCATTGTATTATTTTATAAAGAGGTTGCAAATAAGCAGTTAGGCCTTTTTTCTGATCCTTGCAAAATACTATTTAAGAGTTGCTTATCATTTTAATGATAATACTATACAGAATTACAGTGATTATCTTTGTTTCATTAATATTAAAAATATATGCTTTATTCAAATTTCTTGACACAAGAATGATATAGTATTATCAACTGCATGCCAAATACCTTTACATTTTTATGACAGTAGGTTGTATACTAGTATTAAAAAAAAAAAAAAAAACTATTTTAGGACTGTTTAGGAGAATGGAACTTTAAAAATTTCTCTTGTTACATTCAGTTGAATAAGCAGAGCCATATTCACTATGAATCACGTAACTGTAAGTGTCAGTTATATTACTATAATTTTTTTTTCTCAATAAATATGGTGTGGCCCAAGTGAAAGGTAATTTCACCTATAAAATTACCCTACCCTTTTGAAGGGGCTTTGTGAGAAAGAGCATCCATATAAAATGTCCTCGCATATTGCGCCATATAAAAAGTCTCCACGGTTTTTGGTACATTTTTGAACAAAAATTTTTTTATTGAAAGCAATTTTAATCGAGTACATATTGGTGATTATTATCTACCATTTGCCATTTTTCGGATAGCTTCATAATTCCATTGGTGTAGAACTTCTATGGTTTATTGTCGAAAATTTGGCCGAGTGATTTTCAGTGCTGCTTCGGTCGACCAGCTTTTTACCATCAAAATATTTTTGCAGAGATTGAAACAAATGGTAGTCAGGTAGTGCAAGGTCCGAACTATACGGTAGCTGCATCAAAATTTCCCAACCAAGTTCTGTCAATTTTTTTCCGAGTCATCAAAGATGTGTGTGGCTGCGCATTGTCGTGATGGAACACAATTCCTGTTCTGTTGGCCAATTCTGGTCACTCTTTCTGAATTGCTTAGTTCAAACAGTTGAGTTGTGCACAGTACAGGGTCGAAATGATGGTTTCGCCAGGTTGCAGCAGCTCATAATGGACAATTCCCTTCCAATCTCACTAAACACTCAACATAACCGTGTTTGATGAAAATCCAGGCTTTGAAGTCGTTTATGGAGGGTCACCAGCCTTTGACCACGATCACTTGCTTTTGATATTCTCGTATTTCACCCATTTTTCATCACCTTTAAGGATTTGCTTCAAAAATGGTTCATTTACATTGTGTTTCAGCAGCATTTCACTGATGGTAATTCGGTCAATCAAATTTCTTTGTGTTAATTCATGTGCACCCAAACATCGAGCTTCTTTTTGTAGCCTATTCTTTTCAAATGATTCCAAACTGTCATGTGGTTGATTATTAGTGCCTCCACTATTTCCTGACAGCTTGTGTGCCGGTCTTGCTCCACCAGTTGCAAAATTTCATCGACCTTTTCAGGGACAGGCCAACCAGAGCAAAGTGCATCTTTGACATCAAAATTTCCAGAACAGAATCGAGCAAATGACTCCTGGCCCCTTTGTTCACTCACTGCATTCTCACTGTACATTTCGCAAATTTTTCACCATCTTTTTGCATCAGTTTTACCTTTTTTATAGTAAAAAGGCATCACACGACGTATTTCTCCAGATATTTCACTCATTTTCAAATCAGTATAATGCTTTACATGAGCAACGAATTAGGAAACTATCTTCATGAATAATGGAAGCTGAATGTCACATTTTAAGCACATGTTTGTTTGAGACAATTGGGTGAGTGTTGCAAAATATATAGGCATCAACACCATCTAGTGGCAAAAAGACTGCAGTAAACTGAAAATATTTTTTAGAAAGATAAATTATTTACCCCTTAATGCACCAGTAAAAATTCAGAAAGTGGTCTTTTTTGGCCAATGTTTTTTATTCTTTATTTTGTCTTAATTTCTTTTAACCTGTTTCTTTATTTTAACTCAAAACTGTTATGTTGTGATATATTTGAAACTAATATATTGAATTGTATTCATAACTGGAAAAAAAAAAATCTTGAATATATTTATTTTGGGTTGGTGGAACAATTTAGTTCAGTGTACATGAGTTAACTTGATTATTGAGTGCATTATAAAGTTAATGTAACAGCTTAATCTAAGTAAACATATTTTTAAAAGGTGAGTGATAAATTTTCTTACTACTTTTTAAAAATGTTCTGCATTCCAAATGCACATGGTTTTTCAAAAGAGCATTTTAAAGTAAAAAACATTGTCTTATTCTAGGGGGAAGGTATGGAATTGTGACTATTAAATGCAAATTCAAACACATGTAGTTTTATGTAACTGTATTTTGATGTAGAAATAACAGATACTTATATATAAACATAGTTATACAAAACATATGTTAACTAATTATTTTTATGTAAACATGTGACATATCAGCTTCATATGTGTGTAACATTGAAGGCATACAAAATAAACATGGCTTTATTACTCTTAACACATTTCTCACATGTAACCATGATATAAGCATTAGTTCTTTGCTTGATAGTATTAGTTTAGAAATTAAGTTATAAAGAAAGTTGAAAAGTTTTATTAATATATGAAAAGATTTAAATAATTAAAATGTTTTTGTTACTAAAACTGATTTCTTCACAAATTTTTAAAATAGAGAGTATCAGAGTAAATAAAAATAACAAATATTATCTTCATCTTTTGAAGGCAATTTATGAGTGCACTGATATTTCAAAACTACTATATATGTGTACATCTACAGTCAAAAGTCTTTAATCCGGACTCTTTGGGACTTCGGCGATTCCGGATTATAGATCATCAGTTTAAATCTGGTAAGATAGCATGCAGAAATTATGAAAACGTAATTTATGAAATAAAGAACAATTATGATCTAAAGGGTATCAAAATTAAAAAAATAAAAGCTTAATATTTATTTGTTTACTTTATTAAACATTTCTTTCAACGCGCGCATGTGTAAAGCATACATTATGCATAGTCGAAATTAGAAAATTGCAATCAGAAAACTATTTGATGTGTATTCGTGATATTTATAATGAATTTGAGGTGAATCTTTACATTATGGTAACTTGGCGATTTTTTGGCGACCAACCCTGCTACAGAGTAAAGACTTTTTTTTTTTTTTTTTTTTTTTTACTCAACATTTTTTTCCAACAATCTGCTAGCCGTATTACGCTTATGCTAGAAACTTTTATGGAACAAAAAGGGCTTAATCATGACGAGATTAGGTGCGAAATTGGGAGAAAGTGTAGAATCGCCCCCTGCTTGCCGCGATTTTAAGAATTGCTCATATGCACGGTATCCATGTACACGTCGACCTATTTTCACTTAAAAAAAACATCCCAGCAAATTGCACAAAAATGGCGCAAAAATGGCGCATACTCTTGACTTTATCCATGACTTTGCACATCGACCTATTTTCACTTAAAAAGTCAAAGAAAATTGACAACAATCCAATTCTTCTTACTCTTGTAAAAAAAAAGCACCAAACAAATAAGTGGGCGATTCTGCACTTTAGCAGGGAAATTGTTTCTAAGTGCTTATTAGCTAAAATCCAGATTCGAATTTTCCGGAAAATGTCACATTACATGTCTCATGATCTCTCATTTCTCTGAGACAAAATAATCTGTGATTCGAATTGTGTACTTTTCAGATTATTGCTAAAGTCCTAGCTAGTAACCTTTATCGCCTTACCAAAATGTCGCCAAACTACCTGTTACCATATTCTAAAGATTAGCCGAATTTGATTTAAATCATATCAAAGACAGAGCACATCGAGATGAAATACTACATTTAGTAATGAACTATAAGCCGAATAAAATAAAAACATCTGCTCTGAAGATAAGGATAGTGCTGACAGATCAACTTCCAGTTCATTGCGCGCCACGCCGTCCCCCCCCCCCCCCCGCAGAGCAGCGTGAAATTGATAAACAGATTTCGGAATGGTTAGAGAAATAAAGGATATACCTTTATCCATTTTTTGCAGCAATTCCACTTTTTGTTTGATGGACATCGAAACATGCTTTCGCTTTGTAGATCCTTTGGCAGTATCCAGCATCGGAAAGTCTATTTGACATAATCGAAAGTTCAGGCTTACTTTTATAAAATTGCTCTAACAGTCTTCAAAAAATAATAAGCCAGATCCAATTCGAAGATTAAGGAACAACGTAATCTGCAACATTAAGTGAAATAGATAATTAGATAATTTTAGCTTAGCTTATACCGTCCGTTATATTGACGCATGCGCAGAAAGTTTGTAGCTTAGAGGTCCGGATTATAGATCATTCCAGATTATGGGCTTCCGTATTAACGACTTTTGACTGTATTTAAATTATGCATAAAGTAAGGTACATTTCTGAAGTCGTAATTCTGCGAAGATAGCTGGGAGACCCAAAATACAAGATGTTTAATGTTCTTAAAAAGTCATTAATTTATGATTTTTATGAAAGAAAATTTTTCAGATGTGTCATAGCTTTCCTTTGTTTTATCTAGGCATACAAGAAATGGAATGTTTAAACTTTTTATACATGTTGTACGAAATGAAAAATTGGTCGGTCTGTGGCGTGGAACTGTGCCCGTAAGTATAAGTTCATTTCTATTAGTCAGTCCATATCCATTTCTCTAAAGTATGGCACAATATATACTGCATTAAGCATTATAAAAAATTATGTAATGAGATTATCAGAAAAAACACTTTTAATAGACTTTTTTTTTAAATTTCTTTATTCTATGTAGTATTATTGCAAAAGAATCATATCTAACATTTTTCAGTTTTAACTAGTGATCCTCAACACATCACACCTGAGTTAGCTGGAATCTGTAATCATTGCCAAGCATAATGTCAACATAAAAAGTTACTGTGGTCTTTGGTATTTAATTGTCAATATCTAAAAAAAAAAAAAAAAAAAAAAAAAGTCTTGTTGACATGTCTGCACGAGTCATTTGTCAAGCTGCAGTGTATTGATAGTCGTGAGTTGATGAAAGCAAAAATAAATAAATAAATAAATAAAAGATTTGCCAGCAGGTTGGCATTAGTGCCGAAGTAAAATTAAGAATCGGAACTGCGTGTTTTATTATGAAAGGCTATCAAATGCACAACAGTAAAACATTAGTTAAAGTCCTGATGATTAGGAGGTCCAGATTTTAAATCATTCTGTATATTGGATGTCCAGATTTTAGACTTTGTATTGTTAAAATATTTTTGGCGTGGATTTTTTATGATATAAAAAAATATTCAATCATCAAAATTTGTTATTAGTTATATAAAAAATGTATTATCTCAAAGCTGATACTTAAAATTCCATTTAGTATCATATCCTGAAAGAGGTTAGAGAATTATCTCTTATGAATAACCAATGCATAACTAATTTTTCATTGTATTATTCAACTAATAAATGGTTCTTCTTTTTTTACAGTCCATTATGAGATGTGTTCCTGGTGTAGGAATGTATTTTAGTTCTTTACACTGGCTACAGAGCAATTTTGGGTAAGTAAAGAAGAAAAGAATAAATTATCTTCTTAAGATCACTCTTGATACGCTTCTTAAGAAAATTTATGAATCAGACATTGTTTTCATGAAGTTTAATTCAGATGTTTGTTGATTATCTTTAATATGCAATAATCTTCTGTGATGATTTATGTTTTTTTTATTTGTTTTCCTAATGTAGTATTTAAATTTTCAAATTACCATGTATAAAGATAAGTGTTTGAATTTTGCATAAACTTATTATTCATAATTCTTATTTATATTCAAATTTGAAGCATCAGTGTTTGTGTTATCACAGCTATTGATCAGTTTAGTAATAAACTTGGGAGGGGGGAAGATCATCACTAGTTTGATAACTTTAGGGAAAAGTTTGGAGTTTGCATTATAACTTATATATTTTGGTGTGATTTTTCTTGCTTGGTATTCAAGAAATATATTTTTAGTACATTTAAAAATTTTAATATTACTGTACAATTATAGACTCTACATTAGCCTCTGACTTGTGCGATATGTGAATTGTAGTAATTCGCAGTTTTGTAAGTGTGCAAAAGCTGTGACATTCAAATTGAAAGTTACCAATTAAGAGCAAGGACTCCATAAACAGTTTCATCTCTTTCTCATACTTCTTGCATTTAAGTAGTATTTGTATGGTTAGCTTAGTCACATAATCATTACCATTACTTTCCAATGTTTATTTACCCTTAAAATTGTTTCAAAATGCAAAATAGAATGCATTGATCGTAAATTTTAAAAGAAAAGGTTGCAATTATTTTAAAGGGAAAAAATAAACATAATTTGTGCATATAAAGAAAAGGGAAAATTTTATCAATAATAGTTTGGAGTATAAATCCAGCTGTTTCAAAAGAGAATATTCCCCCCCCCCTCGAAAAATGGTGGGCCTAAACCATCCACAGACATTGGCCACCACTAAGACCAGAAGTGGTGGCCACTTTATAATGGAGACATCCAATAGGTGGGCTCCGGCTGGCGACCTGAACGCAAAAGATTGCTCCTGGGAAGCCAGAAGAAATAACAAAAATGGAAGATTACTTGTAAATTATTTAAATGCAAGAAATATTAAGCTTGTTGCACCTAATAAGTACACTCAATATTGGAGGAATTACGGAGACATCCTAGATGTTGCCTTGTTCAAAGGAATTACCCAGACCCCCTATTTAGAAGTTATGGAGGAGTTTTCTTCTGATCATTTCCCCGTGATCTTTGATTTTTATGGGTTCTACCCTACTCCACCAAAAATCCGCTCTAGAGTTAACTGGAATCGTTTCACGAAACATATGAACAATCTGCCCTGCAATCCCCCACTTAGAGACTGTGCTGAAATTGAAAGCGAATCCCTAAAAATTCAAAATCCTATCAAAAGTTCGTCTTATGAATGTAAGAATTCCGACACTAGAAAATTCCCAGATGATATCTTAAATACTATAAAAGAAAGGAATAGATTAAGGAAAAGGTGTAATATCCAAAACCCAACCTTAAAAATGCAAATTAATTATTTAAGCAGAAAAATTCCTAATGACATTAATGATTTTAAATCAAGTAGTTGGGAAGATTTATTGGATAACATAGGTGCAGATACAAACACAGTTTGAAAAATTGCTAAGGCTATGTGGAAAGAAAAGATGAATCATATTGCGCCGTTAAATCGCATGGGCTCGACCCACCACTTCAAATTTGACATTGCGAATGTCTTTGCTGATACGCTGGAAGAGACTTTTTGGCCAAACCCTACAACCGACCCACAACACAAAGATGAGATCAAAAATTAAATTAATCGCATCAAAGATAGAGATAACCAAGATTTTATTAAATTTGTTTCACCAGGTGAAATTCAATACATAATTAAAAAACTTAACATCAGGAAAGCCCAAGGTTTTGATGGGATAAACAATCGAGCCTCGAAAGCTCTTCCCCATAGATGTTTCATATTACTTGCTAATATTTTTAATGCGTGCATAAGAAACTGCTACTTCCTCTCTCAGTGGAAGCACTCTATAATTATTACGATCTTAAAACCGGGGGAAACCCATCGGAAGCTATCAGTTATCGTCCCATCAGCCTTTAACTGGCGATTAGCAAAGTATTTAAGAGAGCTCTTAACTCAAGGATGACAAGTCACCTAGATCGCCTTGATCTGATTGACCCAGCGCAGTTCAGCTTCAGAAGGCACCACAGCATGACCCACCAAGTACTTAATGTTGTAGAATTTATTTCCAGCACTTTTTTCCACAAGACAGAGTTGTGGCGTGTTTCCTAGACCTGGAGAAAGCGTTCAACAGAGTCTAGCACGATGGCCTGATCTATAAAATCAATAATTTCATGTTTCCCATCAGTTTTGTAAAGCTCATGATTTCTTATTTGAAGAGAAGAACTTTTCAAGTTCGGGTTGGAGATACTCTGGCACACAAAAAAATAATACAAAGTGAGATCCCACAAGGCTCAGCTATCGCACCAAAGCTTTTTAATATTTTTATAAATGACTTAATCCATTGTGGTCTAAAACACTAAAATATGCAAATGACACAGTGATTTTCTCACCATCAAGAAGCCCTCTGTTAGCTCTTTACCTCCAACTCTACATGAATGTTGTTGCCGCCTGGTGTCAGCTCTGGAAGGTAAAAATTAATACCTCAAAATGCAAAATTGTTCGCTTTCGTCGTTACAGCGAAAATGAGAGAACAAATAGTGACATACAAATTGGAAATGATATCATCCCAGTCTCTTCGTCTGCTAAATATGTCGGAGTGATTCTTGATGAACGACTTAACTTTAAAGATTATGTAATTAATCAAGTTAACAAAGCAAAATGGAGCTTACGTGTCTATAATTTCATAGGACGGAAATTTAAACTTAGCTTAAAAGTTATACGTACTCTGTATCTAGAACTCATTAGACCAATTTTGTTTTATGTAGCCCCGGCCTGGGCCATGTCGTTAAAGACTGAACGAAGGAAAATTAACCTCCTGCAAAATAAAATACTAAGAGTGGTGGTTAATGTGTCTTGGTATGTTAGAAATACGATCATTTATGAAGATTTAAAAATTAAACCAATACCGGAGCAGATCCTAATGGATGCTTACAACTTTTTTTAGAAAATGGAGAATGAGTCTGTCAATACTTTGAGAGAACTTATGAACTGTGATCCCACTGTGGAAAGCGTCGTGAAATGACCTTTGTCAATTCACCACAATGTAAAGTGGTAGCTGTAAACATGTAAATAGTTTTATCCAACTTTATCTCATTTTATTCAAGTATTTAATCAAGTATTTAATCCTAGTATTCATCCAAGTATTTAACCAAGTATTTAATCCTAAGTATTTAACCAAGATTTTCGTGTTTGTGAATTTGTATTTGTGTTTACTATGAGGACTATGGGCTTAGTGCCTGGGGACAGGCAAAGACTTTTAGTGTTATTGTACAAAGTGTAAATAATTGAACTCACCACGCCTACCACTGTAGATCCTACTGTATTGGCTAGTACTGGTCACGTGATACTCTCTCAGTAACCTAAACTCTGAATTCTCAAGAATTAGGTATTATTCTCTTGAATCTCTAACTAAGCAGTTTTACGATTCTTCAGTCAGAACTCAGATGATTTTCATGACTTTAAAATTGAAATTTTTGCTATTATGTTAGCGTATGCCACCTTGACTTGCCACCTTAGAGCTTTGATTGCCTGATCTCTCAAGACTCTTATTTTCACCTTCAGGTGAGTGGCGTGATAGCGCCCTAAATTTTTCTACAACCGTGAATGGGGGTATGGCAAGCTAGAATGATTAGGTTTAAACTCTAAGAAGTTGATGCCTGTAGTGAAAGTAAAGCATAAGCATAGGTATGAAGCCCTGTGGTGCAGTGGCTAGCGCATCACGCAGCAGCACCACAAGTCCGGGGTTCGATTTCCGGGCTGGGCTAGGTCGACTCAGCCTTTCATCCCTTGATTTCCATCACTTGGGTCGATAAAATGAGTACCAAGTTCGCTTGGGAACTAAACACTGGGGAAGGGGGTGTCCTTCGACAAGCTGACCACTTGTTCAGGGTATATGCTTATGAACCGCGAAGCCCACGGTCAAGAAAGCAGATGTCGAGCACTGCAGGCCTTTGCCCATTAGGGTTGTTACGCCACTAAGATTACATTAGATTAGATAAGCATAGCTGGGCCACCTTTGCCTGCTATGAGGGGATGGACAAATGCAACTATGCCTTTTCCAGGGTTCGAATCCAAGCCCTTTGGTATCGTAGTTGGCTCCCCATAACCACTATACTGTCTGTGTGACTCATTAGTAAATATAGTTAAGGATAAAGTTTGCATTTTTGAAAGAATGAAAGGTGTGGTAATGTTGAAAAAAATTGGCATGTCATTTCAGAAAAAGTTCAATTTTGTGTCAAAATACCTATGTTAGAATGATGCTATATATAAACCTAATATATATCCTAAATTGTGCTTTCAAGACATGAAAAATGCAATTTGAATTTCGTCAATTGGCCCAGTAGAATGAGAGATATAGAACTGTCCCCCCTTTTTTTCTGCAGTGTACATACATTATTGAGAACAAGCTGGGTTACATTTCAGAAATAGATAAATTGTCTTGCTATATTTCTGACACAGAAATGGATACCATTGAGTTTTCTAATTATGTGGCAGAAGGCCAGATCTTTGCATACAAATTTACAAGAAAAGGCTGGCACTATAAACACAAAGTGAATGAGGAATGCATCGGAGATGTATTTTATACTGTGCTGGTTTGTCATTTGGTATTCTATAGAATGCCTAGGATATGTATGAAATGTTAATAATTTCATACCATTGCTGGCCAGTTTTCAGCATTCTATAAAATGACTAGATATTCTATATGATGCCACTTTCATACATTGCATTACATATATAGGTACATGTATATAATAAAAAATATTAGTTTCTTAGAAAGTTACACTTTATCGGATTACAAATTCAACTTGTATAAAATATAAGTTATTTAAGAAATTTAAGCTTTTTCAAATGCATTAACTTACTTAACTTGTATATTGCTGTAAGTGTAATTTAAGTTTTAAATACAAATTTTTTAAATCTTTTAATGCATTCTGTTTCATGCTGCAAAATAGCTGACATTTTTTTGATAAACATGTATATCTGACAAAATAATGTAATTTTAATCATATGGGTTTTGTTTTTCAGTACTAAAGATCCATCTCCATTAGAATCAGTTTGTTTTGGTGTTTTGGCAAGGTCTTTTGCTGGGGCTACATTATTACCAGTAACTGTTATTAAAACTAGATATGAGGTATTTATTTACTTTTTTAGATTTGCATTTGTTCTTCCTTTATTGTTAACTTTTTGATTTCACAAAATATAAATACATTTAAACTCTGCTATAGTGAACCTGGCTTATAATGAGCCCCTGGATGTAATGAACGGAATTTTTTTTCTCGTCCAGTTTTGTATGCTATTTATGTGATTATAATGAACTTCTAAATGTGTAAAAGTTGGATATAGTTAGACTTACCAGATTGCAAAAACCATCTCCCATGCCACAGCATTTAATGCTATTTCATACGATTATGGCAAACTTCCAAAGTATGAAAATTGGATAGATCAGTAGTACTTTTTAGACTTTTTTGCAGGATTTCTGCAATTTTCAGCTGAAAAATTACTAACCCATGCAGTCATCCTTTTTAGGGTATTAAAATAATGAAAAAAACCTTATCTTCACCCCCCCCCAAAAAAAAAAGGCTGTGAGAGGAACATGTAACACTCAATTCTTGAAAGACCAGAACAAATAAACATACCTTAGGACAGTGGTCTAAAACTTTTTTTAAACAAAGATAAGTTTTTCTAATTAAATTTAAAATTTCAGTTACTAAATACTTTCTAAAAGATACATAAATAATAATAATTATGATGCAAAGGAAAAAAATTACAATGTGTATTTATTTTCTATCTTTAACCCTCTGACTGCTAAATTTGTAAACCGAAATCGCTTCAAAAAATGTGTAATTTTTTTTTTTCATATTTTAAATTTATATATATTGGAGAGTTGAAAAATCCACTTTTTCTTTCTAGAAAATATTTTTCATGTATATTTTTATCATGAGAAACTAAGTTGCCAGATATACCAATTTCAGATGTTATCAGCAAAAAAAAAAAAAAAAAAAAAAAAAAAAAAAAAAAAAAAATTTCAATCAAATTACAGTTAATTTCTATTTATTGCATAACATAAAAAAGTAAAATGTATAAATTTAAGAAAATATGAGGCACTGAGGAAAAAATACATTAGAAATGCAGTTTAAGGTCCAAACAGGGTTCAAGGCAAAGTCCAACTTCACAGTCTTTGCACCAGATTCAGTAAATCTAATTAATAATCAATCTAATTATAAATCTAATCAATAAATCGAATTAATATTCAATAATTTTATTAAATAATCAAGATAATCGCTGAACGTTTTCTAGCAACCATTTCTGTAAGAAAAATGGCAAAAAGTGAAGTTTGAGCTGTAATACCACGTACCTTCAAATGCTGCAATTTAGTGGACAACTAAATTATATATATGTTGGCCAAAATTAAATATATGTTGGCTAAAATGTAAACTATATGTCAAATACTGTATATAATTTATTTCAATGGTTAAACGGGAAAAAAACGGGATGCGCTCCTCAATAAAGGAAGAAAAACACATGCCCGCGGAAATCGCGGGATGAGCAGATTTTGCTACATTTGAGTTGCCCGTGGAAATCGCGGGATGAGCAGCCAGAGGGTTAATCCTAAAGGTTGGCACTTGCTAGAAATTTCTATTGTTTACACTTTCTAATTCAAACATACTGGTAGCTAAATATTAAATTTTTAAGACTGACATTTATTTCAATTAATTCTGATATGTGTAAATTAACTACTAAATAACTTGCTAAAAATACAAAATTGTAAAAAATTTCCAAGTGAAAAAAAAAAAAAAATCTGAGAATAAATCATGAAAAACCTATTCTCTTTCTTTTATTTACTAAATGCTTTTTATTCACATACAGAAAAATACTTACTTTAATGTTAACTAATAAACAAGTTATGAAAACTTTCTAAGTGCTAGAAAACATGATAATAAATAATAACAGTTTAGTCTCTTATTTATTAAATTTTTCTTCAGCATATAAATTAAAATATATATGTTTATATGTAAATAATCATAAATTTTAAATGTAATTACAAAATTTGTTCATATAATGTCCATGCACTGGGGGGGGGAATACTAGAAATTATCTTCATTACAGACTGTAGATGCTTATCGATCAATCAGATTCTTTTCTTATTAATTTTCAGCTGTGAGAAAATATTGTTCACATACAAATGTATTTCCAAACAAAGCAATTATTCTTTGTGCAAAAATTTGTAACTAAGTGTGCTTAATTTTTGACAAGAAAGATTCGATTTTGTTCAATCTTCAGAAATTTTATATCATATTGCAAATTAATTGGCTCAGTGTATAGATTTCTGGTGTGTTATTTATGTTCATATTTAATGGTAACGAAAATAATGTAAACTCAGAGTTCAAATATTTAAATTTTGAAATCTTCACAGCAAAATATTTGCAACAAATACGTATGTGAATTGTATTCACGATCTGCATAAAATTCTTTTGGCAGCCACCAATTTTTTGAAACTGCTGGCCTAAGATGTTAATATTAATATTGTGTTTTAACGAAAGTTTCTCATTGTGGCAAATATCGTCTGTGCTAACAGTTTGCAGTGGCATGTTTAATCTTATTTTGTCAAACAATTTTTGGCATTTGAAAGAGACTTGCTTTAGAACACTGTGTTGTGAAATTTGTAAAAAACTGTCATAATCATTATTTACAAGGTTCCTGATATGGAACCATCATGCTACTAGATTAGAACCATCATTTACTTCCAGTTCTGTTGCAAAAAGTCAGCTGTAGAATGTCACCAAATCATGTGTACAACATTAGGTTCAAAAACAACGACTATGACATTTAAAAAGCAGAGCACTCTTGTTAGCTTACTGATGTTAATGAGGCCCGCCTATGAGGACTTGTGGAAGAAGATTAAAGTGCAACCACTTGAGAGCTTGCTGAGGAGTTAGACGCTTGTGGCATGTCCATTAATCGCACTATGCATCGCATAAATTTGACGTGCAAGTTTCAATGGCTAGGTGTCGCATGAGCTGACTCGAGCTGATAAGAACAGGCATGTTTGAGCCTGCACTAATCTGCTTGAATATCAGCGAGAGGACAAAATTCATCACTTGTGATGAAAAGTGGATTTACTTCAATAACACAGGC